AACTCCTGTAAACAGGCAATAAACACATACAATAGTGTTTCTTCAGAACAAAAACTAATGTTGTATCAGACATTAATAGAGTCTGATGCAATAATGAGTAAAAAGCTTTATTCAAACAAAGAACAAATTTATGTCTTCCCTGTGGTCGTTGTTTTGGTAAAAAAATTATCAGCGTCTCTCTTTCTCCGTGTATGTTTTTGCCACTCACCTTGTTAGTTAACAGATGAAAGCATCCAACTACCTTCCTAGATGGTAGTGACAGCCTGACAGAAAACTAAATGTATTCCCCCCTTTCTTAAATAGTGATTGCCTCCTAATTTACTTAGTTTTTTTTTAGTTCTTATAAAATATTTTCTTATGAAACATAATGAATCTGACAATAAGGGCATTGTGGAAAAATGTGTTTGAAATGGAATAATAATGCATTTGTACATTTTCTTATATTACAGTTTCTCCAGAGAAATCGAGAAAACAACTGGAAAGTACTTCATCAGCAGGTGAGTTGCGCTCAACAACAAACGCATTCGGAAGTTTCAGTGTTTCAGTGCCGTGTTTCACAGGTTGAAACGTGACGTTGAGAACGAGGCAGTTTATTTCAGCTCATACTGATTTTGCCCTCTTTTCAAAACGAAAAGGAACAAGCGTTTCTTTTATGAAAAGACTAAAAGCTCAATTTGTCCTCTCTTGTTTACTCTGCGATAATGTTGTTTTGACATGTAGTCCTCAGCAGTGCTTATATAGTTGGTATTTATGCTGTCTATCAGGAGCTGGTTGAGGTCCTTTTCTGCACTGAGAGCCTGTCTGGTTCAGCTCTGGAGCCTGAATGGACCCACTCTTCACTGCCAACAACTGCAGCAGGCAGGTAGCAAAGGCTTTTCAGCAGGGCCAGCATGCATCACTCAACTTAGGTAGAGGGCTCTCTCCGTAATTGCCAACTATTACAATACGTGGCATGAGGGGTTCAACACTATTTTCAAACCTGATGAAATGGCATCAAGGCATCCTCTCACATCCAGTGATAATTGAACAATTAAACTTTAGCAGACAAATTACCTCTTCATAAAGCACAACTAATTATAACAGCAGGCCAGTCACAAAGAAGCTTATCCAGGGTCAGTCCTGGGGCTGATATTCAGATTTTCATTATTAGATCAGGCTTAACTGTATTTATTGTATCAAATACATTTTTATTTGTCCATTTTGAGTTTCCCTTTTATGCAGTGCGCCCCCAAAACGACTTTTTTTCAAGCACCCAGTCAGTTTCGGGGGGGATTATGACCTAGGATATTTTCAGACCATTTATTTGAGACATCCAGCTGCAACCCCTCCTATTAAACATCTTGATTAGACAGGATTTAAATCACCCTATTTGATTGGGGCAGTTAAGCTCTTTATACTCTTCACTGTAAAATGCTAATTCTCTGTGAAACGAATGGACATGAATCCTCAGAGAGCATATGGAGAATCTCTCATATAAATAATTCACAGGAAATGAGTAAAAATTAGTGAGCAGAGCATCAGTGATGTTGCGCAGTCATTACTTCTGCAAATGAGGTATTTAATATGAAGGATTTAAAATGGAAATGTCATCAGTGTGAAAAATGACCTCCTTTTGCAGAGCAAGACACCTCATGTACACTGCAGCACGATACTAGCAATGTAAATGCATGAAATCCATACTACTAACATTTTTTAGATTATGGTGTTTCCTTCTACTGCCACCAAGCCCTTTACAAAATAGTAGCTAAGCCCCCAAGTGTGAACTCTGAGCCTAATTACCCTCTCAAGGGGACCCGAAACCCCTCCGAAAAGCCTCACGTGCACGCTGTGGAGCTCTTCAGGTGCATTAGGTGAAAATTATATTGACGCTAACAATGGTGGCTTCAGGATCCACTTCAAGGATGCAATAGACTTGAAGAGCACCCATATTTTAGTCCAGGACAAAAGGCAGAAGATAACAGTGCAGGTTCTGCAGCAGCAGTATCTGTAAGCAGTTTCAAATTTATCTGCAAAATACTTCTTTTTGAAAATTTGATGAGCCTAAAAGAGCATCGAATGAATCAGTGTAAAGTTTGTGCCAGACAAACACACACTCATGTCAATATTTGACACCATAAACTCCTCCCTTGGCCAGTCACCGATGAGACTCAGAGATTATGAATTTGATATTAATGCCGACCGAAAAGGCCAAACTGGGAGCACGGAGCACATTTAATATCTAAACGTGGCTCCTCTCGCACACACAAGTCATTTGCAAGTTCCAATACAAGATGATTATATGTGTTGATACATCAAGGCAAGAGATGAAATTGATTGCAAATGTATCATAAGGTGGTGATTGTAGACAATATTAAACTTCACAAAGGAGCTTTTGTTCTCAAATTCCTGCGGCGGTTCAGCCAGTATCGCCTCTGCTTTAATTTAATATCTATTTATTTTACTCCATTGTACGGGTTTTATTGAGGTTGCGCCTGCTTTATCGCCCAGATCTAAACCAGAAGTGAAGGTCAGGAGAGGCAGAGTGCCTCTGTTTATTGGCTTCCATTGAGCCCATATGAGCTGATTTGGCTATCTGCTCTTTCATAGTATTTTGTGCTATCCGGATATTGTTTATCACCGCATTGAGATATTCACTGTGTATTTACTGCTGAATTAAATATTCTTCATCACTTTTGTAATATCCTCTCTGTAGGCTCATGCAGGATGTGAGAATCCTGTTGGATGTGCCAGCAAATCCTCACTGACGATCTATGAATTCAGGAAGAAAAAACAGCGTGGAACATATATTTGTCATCTGTGTATGCTTTGAAAATGTTAAGTCACACTATTTTAGACAGCTTCACTATGTTATTTTGAAGTCTGGACTTGGTAGCGTGAATATTAACCCATTAACCCAAAAGCACATTCATATTCATCAGCATGTCCAAGTTGTTCCAGTGACCTCAGATACAGTGTAATGTAAAAAAGAGCTCAGTTCAATACATTTCTGGGGTTTTTTTTCTTAACTTTTGGCTTTTGTTACTGACAAATAATTACATATTTACACAAAGGTTCTGGCAACTTTATGTTTTGTTGTTTGAATAACTATCAGATTCTTGTGAGGTTAACAATAAAATCAAATAAATAAAATCTAACTTCAGTGACGTGGATTTCCACCTTCAAAAGCACAGAAATTCTTGTTGAATAATGACAACTGTACCATTCTGGTTTTGAACTCAATACCTTTCACGCAATATGATGAAAAGGTGGTAAATGCACTACTACCTGGACAAATCAAGGTTATTCGTGTATGCAAAGGTTTTGACGCACATTTCATTTCTTTATGTTTTGCCTCCAAGGAGCCAGACTTTCTTGTATTTTTTTAACAAGGTTTTAAGCAATAGTTCTGCAGGGGGGTTGCTGCTTTTTCACACATTTTCAGTCTTTAGTCATTCCCTTCAGTTGCTCCATTTACTGTTCACTGAAGCCTCATCAGAAATGGTCTTAGTGGAAGGATGGCTGTCAAGAAGCCGTTCTTAAGGAAGGGAAGTGGCTGAGATGTGCAATATTATACAAAAACTGGACTGAAAATCAGTGGCAGCGGGTGTTATGAAGTGATGAATCCAAATTTAAAATTCATGTCGGTGTAAATTTTTTACTGAGAAAGTCAGGAGAGAGTCAGGAACAGTTAGACTCTACAGACATTTGTAAAGGTGGCTGTAGGTGGAGGTTCTTTCATGGTTTGGACCTGCATTTCATCATTTGATGGAATTATGAACGCAGAAAAGTAAAAGTATGATTAGATTTTGATCCATCATGCAATGCCATCTACAAAATGCCTGACACCAGTTTCAGTCATGGATTGGCCTCATCAGAACCCGGACCTCAACAGATACCAGAACAAAGGCAAACAAGATCCAAAGAAGACCAATGAACGTCCAATTGGTACCAGTTATCGAGCTGTTTTTCATACCATGTGAATGGAGTGATCTTTTTCCTCCCAACACTATTTATTTCTATTATCTATTCATTTTGAAATTTCATGAAAGAAAACAGAATGATCGTGATGTAAAATTTAAAGCTGCTAGATGATATAGACACATGAACAGTGAAATAGAAACATGGTTTCTGATTAGAAAGAAAATGATACTACATCAACCTTAACCTACACCTTGCCAGTTATCTGATATTGCAGAACTGTCAGAGGTGGATCTAGAAAATTTTACATGGGGGGCAAACGAGGGTGAAGAGGTATACACGGGGTGGCAGATACCTCTTCATTAAAGTATGTGAAAATCCCCTATGTGTAAATGGAATCAACAATATATACACAAAAACACTTTAAAACTATTCATTGTATCATGATCTCTTCTTAGAAAACGAATAGATTTTTAGGTATAAATAAAACAAAAACATTTCCCCCAAATAAATACAAAACAAATACAGCAATAAAGGAATAAAAAAGACAACAAATGCAGGAAAAGAGCTTAAATTACTGTTTTATCTAAATCAAATTTCATCTATTTCTTTTAGGAGTGCTTAAGCTTAAAATAGGGGGAAGGAGGGATAAATAAGGCTCTACAGCAGGGTGGGCAGTTGACCCCCTTCCCCCTCTGTAGTTCTGGAATAAGCTGTATGGCGTCACTGCAGCCTCGAGATTCTTGCATAATGTTACCTCTTGTTGGTTTTGGGGGGGTTATTTGTTCCTCCTTTAGGTCACGTGGAGGGCTGTTTTGCCAGTGTGTGTGAAGCAGATGGAGCTTGGTCTTATATTTTTCCTCTCCTAGACTCTGCTACTGTTCATTTTTCACTACGTTAGTCTCCAAATACACCTACACTTGTTTACATTTACTCACAAATATCATTGTGTGGCTTTTTCATGTACCGACTTTGTACTTTTGTACAGTGTTATTGCGATTTACACAGCGGATGAAAACAACAGTAATGGTTCCCTGAATGCATCATCATGCAAACGCTGCAGTGATGGCTGAGTGACGTCACTCCTCCGTGGGAGAAATCTGATGCTGCAGGTCTTGCACGTGGTCTGTTGTTTACTTCTTCCAGGAACAGTGGAAGTGCAGCCAGACAGGGGGAGGAGGGGGAGTCGGCAAAATTTTGTAACAGCTGTCCTGGATAGAGTTACCTCGGAGAGGGGGGAAAAAAGACGCGCAGGCTGACGTTAACGTCGGAAAAATGTCGAACTGAATTCTCGTATGTTTCCATCTTCAGAGGCTCCGTAAACAGCGCGATACCTGAACTGTACGTATATGTTTGGCGTCAGCATGCCGCTTTGCTCTCGCTCTTTGTTCTCCTCTCTGAGGTTCGTTAAAGTTCAAGCGTCCAAAGATGGTCAACAATGCGGTTAAACCGAGTGTAGCTGTGAGCACGCCGTTAACCGCAAACAGTGCAAATGCTGGAGTGATGAAAATGGTGAATTTGTTTTGCTAAAAGTTTGATTGGACTGAAAAAAGAGAAAAGAAAGGGGGGACAAAAGTGTACACAAACATGCTGGTTTTACGACAACATAGCATAACACAATAAAGGGTTTCGGTCTCCAGTTTACGAGTTACGGGAAACATCTCCCGTTACATATAGACAAATCATTTACATTTCCTTACAATGGCGTTGTCTTTCTGTAAAAATACCCCAACAACTGGAATGCTTATGCTTTTCTTTATTCTCATTTTGTTTATGTGCTTATAATGAAGACTAGAATGTTTCAGCTTGGAAGTCTGCTGAGTCAGCTCCATCTCACCTCCAAAGCGTCAGAAGCTGCCCATGGCCAAATCCCAAAGCAGACACCGACAGTACCTGACTTTTTACAAAGCGTGATGTAAGTATTAGGTCAACTTAAACCTGCACTAAACTTAGTCGTACAGTTAGTGTGTGTCAAGTAAAGTACAGGGATACACTGGCAGTAGTAAACCCCCAGGGGCACAGTTTATTTGGGGGGTCACTGGGCCCTAAATGGGGCTTAGAAATGATTGAAGTCCAGATTCATCTTTTTCTTGATGCGTCATATTAAAGGTGTAGCACCTGTACTCTAAGGAGCAGCGGAAGAGTCTACCCTTAAACTAGATCTTGGTCCCATGAGGTAAGAGTGTGGTGGAGAGGTGCTTTTCTACTTTATTTCAGCACAGAGCGCTTTATTGAGGCAGTAAAGTGAAGTGAGTTGCAATACAGTCCAAATCAGAAATTCTAAAAACTGTAAAGGAATTTTATTTTGTACAGCTTCCCTTTTTTGCAGCAATATAGAAGATTTGTGTTCATAAAACAATGAAATAAAATAAAATAAGGTACTTTAAATTTAAGAGACAGAATAATTCTGTAACATCTGAGAAAAAGTGGCTATGGTCCTGCCTACCAGTTATAATCCGTTACAGGTAATGCATCAACCAAACCTCCAGCTAGCAGTATTGTGGGCAATAAAGCCCATAATCTTTGTTTTGTTTTTTTGGTTAAGTTGGGTCGAGTTGTCCCTTATAACAATCTTTGCCTGTAATTACTGTTCCCCTACCCATCGCTGAAATCCATCCTCTGCCCATGCACTTCACACTGAGCATTGCAGTGTCTTTCACCTCATTGTTCTTGTCCATCGCCTACAACCTGCAACCCTAACACTGGTGTCCACAACCTGTGACAGCACTCAACAGCATAATAGTGGAGATGGAGCAGCTTAGGATGATCTAATATAACCTCTATCGGGGGTAGCATTGGTGGAGTTTAAAGGCAAAATGATAATTTATCACAATTCTACTTGCAGCTTGTACCACTGTGCTCAAGTGGAATAACAAAAAAATATATTTTTACCATTTGCTTCATCTGTAGGAAACTCACCGGGCTGAAAAAGGAATATGTTTTCTGTAATCTGCGTATCCCCGACCAGCTTCAGACAACCAAAGATGACATCAACCTTGTTATCCTTTCAGGTGGGTATCTGCTGAAGAAATGCATGGAATAATATGTGAAAATAATATACATATGACATAGGGATGTAAAATTTAGCATCTCCATCTAAATGTTTAAGATTATTTAAACGGACAACAGTTTTTGTAATTGTCTGTTTTGCTGCATGCTACGAATTAAAATGGCTTTAGGAAAGGATAAGTTATATTCTAACAGTAACACTAATAGTATAAGACTAGTGACAAGGATTAATGTTTCTTGATCTCTTTGCTAAGGTCATGGGATCTTCTGCATAGATGTTAAACCCTGGAAAGGCACAGTGTCTGCTCACAACCAAAACTGGCATGTGCAAGTGAAAGAAGAGGACCAGAACTTTACCAATACCTGCATTGAGCAGATTGAAGATCCACTCAAAGCTATCATGGTAAAAACAAATTAAAAAAAGACAAGTTTTATCTGAAATGTTGCAATGGCTCCATGAAAACCTAAATGTCAAACTGTCTGGCACACTTGAGTCCAAGGTCCAACCAATTGTCCAATACACTGTTTTCATCCAAACTGTGGTCGGGTTAAGAGATTCTGAGTCACTATAACAATTTATATGGAAATTTTAAATGCAGAAGTGCTTCCTAAACTTCCTAAGTGGGCACTCTTCATTTGAAAGGCCATAATTGTATTCACGGTTTGAGGAGGGTGGGGGTGTGGGGGTGGGAATGAAAGCAGGCAGGTGCCTAAACACAGCTGTCACCTTATGTGGCTGGGTCTGTTAGGAGTCATTCATTTCCATTTCTATAGATGCTCAAATTGGACTTGAAGCTTGACAGAACAGTTCAATGGCAAACACACACTGCAATATTGAAACGTGTTCTGCTTGAATTGGATCTATTAACTTCATTAATCTACACAAAACACGACAAATTTGAGGTTACATAATTTCTCTAAATGGGCCCTCTTTGAAAGTACACATCTACATCGTGTGTGATTCAGGTCATTGCAGGAGGAATGTTGATGTGAGCGCATGCTAAACTTGATGAGTCTCAGCATTGTTCACGTAAATACTGGAGCATTTAATAAGTTAATCGGCTGGCCTTTAAATGAGATAACTGCTGAACATTTTGCTACTTTACTCCAGGTGTTTTATGCAAAGTGGATATCAGTGTTGGATGAAACAAATCATCTTTTTAACCAAAACAATCCAGGCTTCTGAAAAGGTTTTTATTACTTAGATACTAATAAAGAAAATGAAATAATAAGTATCTACCTAATGTCTGTCTCGTAGACTAAAACAGCAAACTTATGCAGTCATTTGAAGAGGAGTGGAGTGTCTGTGCGCCAAAGTCTCTTCTTCCCCAGAATCATCTTCCTCTCACCAGATTGTGAACTGGATAAGGAGCTGAGGAAGAAGAGGGAGCTGGTCTCCCACAGCCAAATAGAGGACTTCCTCAAATCTTTCAAGGAGGGCTATGTTGCCTGGATATCAGATGCGCTGACACCCTCCTGGATCTCTGGTGAATATGCATTAACACTTCGCTCAGTGTTCCAACACAATCCAAAAGGAATTGATCTGTAAAAACACCATATATGTCTGTTACTATGTCCTAAAACTTGTGAAAATATCCACTGCTGCCTAAAATTCTGGTGGAATCAATCGGAAATTTACAGACACTCATCATGGGCATGAATGTCATGGTAATTTGTACAGCATACATTTATCAATTTTTAATTTATTTAGAATTTTCTCTAATCCACACATGGCCAAAGTATCAATACAGGCCTAATATAAACATATACCCCCACTAATATTTGGTTAACTGTTCCTTAGCAAGTTCCACACCTTTGATAGCCATCAACAAGTGTCTTGCATAATTCTGCCTGGATATATGTTTAAATTGGTTGGTTTCTCCTGGCATGGACCCAACTTTCAAGCATGGTCTACAAATTTTTAATAAAGTTGAGCTTGGGACGTTGGGAGGGCCATTTCAGAAGCTAAATGTTAGCTTGCTTTATCCGTGTGTGTTTAGGATCACTGCAACTGATCAAGCCGAAGAAACTGGAGGTAATCCTACTCCTGTATTATTCCATCCACTTTGTGCAATACACGACTACCACAGGCAGCAAAACAGCCCTAGAGAGTGATGCTACCACCAACAGGATAGTGATGCTAGCATTCTAGCAATTTCTAATTCATGGCAGGCTTGGTGGTTCCTGAGTTGGTCCTGAGCATGGTAACCATTTTCTTCTCATTTGGCAAAGATGTCATACATTTGAATAACTTGTACTGTCATACAGTTGTTTGAGCTGATGGTATTGGAATCTGCAGTTTACCAATTCCTCCAAGAGACCATCTCAACTTCTGTAACTTTATAGCACTCCTTCTTAGATCTTCACAGAGTTCCTTCTCCATTGTTCTACGTGTTGATCAATCCAACGAGAGCTGTCAAACATATCCTTTTTATGAGAAAGAGAAACTTAGTTGGCCTCGGCCTTGTCAAGTCAAAAGACATCGTATAATTTTTAACACTACTTATTAAAATATTGAAGTAAATGTATGTATAGATTTTAGCCTGTATTTATACTTTGGACCGTGTGTGGATTAGAGGCAATCCAAAATCAATTCACAATTGTGAACCCCTTGTTTTATGAAGATCTATGCTGTGCAATTATTCCAACCTGTAAACAGAACAATTCAAAGAAATCATTTACGACCCAAATTACCATGACATTCATGTTTTGTAAACTTCTGACTTAAATTTAGCAATAATTATGACTAAATTGGCAAAGGCTCATAAAAAGCCAGTTAAACTTGTGTTTTTCTTGACCTGCAGGTCATCTGTCGTACAGGCAGATGGAATCAGTGCGAGACGTCCTGAGGAGGGTGGGAACGTGGGATTTGGTGCGGCTGCACTGTGGCGAGCAGCTAAAAGGAGACTTCCAGAGCTGCCCGTATATCGCTCTCAACCGCCAGGAGACGGACACCCTCGAGTTTTCCAGTGTCAAGACCCTTTCTGCTGACTCGCTTTGGGCCCTGCTGGGACACGCTCCTCAGGTCAGTCCACTACTGTGGTTCTGATGAACCAGTCACAAACATAAACGCCATTTGTAACTTGGGATCGAATGCTTTGTCCAAATGATAATGTGAAGCATCACGCTCATCATGAACCAGCAGGTGGCAGTAGCACTTTATGACTGCCTCCGTCAATTATCCCCTGTTGTTCTGGTAACTGGAAAAACACAGGTTTGATTTGTGCTGAAGACCCCCAAAACATGACACCAATTTCACAGTTATTTGAATGCAATTAGGATCATTTCTGTTTAGAAGTATGAGAAAATTACTGTATAAACACAGATGAAGTGATACAGTTTATTAGCAATTAAGATAAGAAAGTGAACTGTTTTTTTCTTTTTTTTTTCACCACACCACAGAGAGCGGTCTAACTGAGTACAGTGTTCAGCCTTTAGATATAAATTAATTTAAATTGTACTGACCAATTTTCCAAACAAATGATTTTTTCACAAAATGTAAATTGTTAAATTTGGTTCTTTTTTTTTTAAACCAGTTCGACCACCTACTCTTTCTCTCTCAGATCATTTTAATGGACACCCTGGGTGTTATTGAAGCGTTAGGGCAGGTATTTTGTTTGCATCACAGTCTAAAAGGAATAATTTGAGCTGATTAAAATTGATTTTATGTTTTGGGTTAATAAGCAGATTTCATTCAGACTCGGGATGCGATTGGCAAATCTTAGCAGTCACTAGAGCAATGACCAAAAAAGGTGGTTTATATAGAAGTTAAATTGCAGTGATGATAGAACGTTAGATTCACACACAAAAAATGTCGTTTCGTTACATTTTTTTTTTTCTTCCAAAAAGCAGGATCGAACCTTTAATTATTTTCACTTGGCAGTGGTGCGTCTTTTCCGCTTGTCAGTTAACTAAATGTTACCTCTTTAAAGACCAGCGAGTGCGACCCAGCTCAGCATCCATTACAGAGTCACACCCACCCTCGAACACCCAGACACTCAGCCTGCGATGTCCATGCAAGCCTGCTCAGGCATTAGTTTGCCCCCACCCAGCACCCCAGACTGTATGTACTCTCCCCCTTCGCCTCCAGCTGCTGTGTATTTGATACATGACCCAGCAGTCATTAGACAGTCTCCAGTGGGCTCTTTTCTTGCCCAGGGGGACACAAAACATGACAAGAAAATATATTATTTTCAAAGAGATATTTGCAAATGGAGGCACAGTGATGCAAACCTCATCCTCATATTAAAAAAAAAAGGAAATTGGAGAATAGATGGTTAATATGCTTTTGTGAAATTGGTTTTATTTCTCTGATTGGTTTCTAGGTGTGTTGATGCAGTCCGCACCGGGGGAAATCAATTCTGGCCCTGAATTTGGACTTTAAATATTTGGAGGTTTTGCCCTTTTTAATTCACCGTGTCACCTACTTTGT